AGCTGGTGCCCAAAGCTGAATTTCATATTTCATTTTGCATCATTAGTAAGACCTCATATTCCCGATGAGGTCTTACTTATGCTTCCTTACAAGATCAAGAATTTCTTTGCATCCCCTAGGGATCCCTTAAACCCCTGTACACTGTGTTTGCAAACGGTTCAAGTATTCAGACTTAACTCATGCTTAATGGTTGTTGACTTTAACTCGTTTTAACGAATACTCACTGCCAGGAACAAATTATCTGCCGCATGGGTCATTTATACAGGGTGCTAACGTCTGTGTGTGAATTGAAAAATGTAGGTCAGCCATATTTACCATGGTTAGGCTCATGGATAAGCAGTATTTTGTAGTGTAAATAACAAAGGCCTTCTCGTGATGTTTCCTTTTGTCTTTATAGTCTGAAAATAAAGATGTGCAGTTTCTTTTATTAAACATTTGACTGACTGACTTGTGTGAAATGTTTTTTCCACTTGAGTAAAAATCCATTTTATTTTTCTTAGCCAAACTTACCTTTTAAAATATGGGTCTGCCTTTAAACAACTGTAAGGCCATAAGCAGGGTGAGGAAAGGTGTTCTAATCTGCCTAAAGCTGGCCATACAGCTTATCTGCAGATTTTCTGTGGTCAGATGGAAAAAATGCAACAGATTCCTCCATCTACCCTAAACTGTGTGGATGGAGGAATCTCCCACTGGGCCAAGCTTCAGCATCTTGCTAGTCGGCCCCACGGGCTCTCAAAGTACCTGAACAATCTGATTGAATGCAGGCATCTGAATGGATTGTGGGAGGGCCCAGGATGCGCTGAGGGAATTCGCTGATTTACAGACTGAGACCGGTTGCGAAATCTTCTCCCAACCCCATTCGCTTGTCATGAACGTGTGCGGAGAAGACCATGTGGCCGCTTTACACACAGTCCTCCAGATAATTGTAAGGTGTATGGGCACCTTTTAGGCACCCAGACCAAGTAGGAATATCTGCTCCACCCATAATGAGCAACTGCAGTGTACTCTTACACCTGGTTAGCCAGGCCTCGAGGATCGCCAGCGGGGCTCCCATGGACCTGCACCATTTAGGAAAAGGCTCACAGGGACTTCGCCAACTGAAGGAGGTAGAAGAAGAAGGCGGACAGCGAGGACTTTATCCCTGCTAGGTAGGCACACTGCTCTAAACCTGACATTTAAGAGGGGAAAAAAAGAACTCCTCCACCAGAAGGAACGCAGACTGCCCAGCCAGCTTTAACATCGACCGAACCTCGGTGAAGAACGTAGAAGACAATCTGATATTCTTTAAGCGGTCTAAGATCTCAGATTTACTAAGATCCTCCGAAACTGCTGCTTCAGCGCTGTCCACTCCGGGGGCGCCAGCTCTAGAAGGGCCCGGACTAGCCCCCTGAGCTGGATCTACAGTAGGCTGGTTTAAGGACTGACCCTATGCAGAAGAAACATTTCTTGAGGGTATCCTGAAAGACTTTCTGCAGTATCTGAACGACGAGTGTCTTTCTTACAGAATGGTGTTTGCTAACCCTTTCAGCTTCATCTTATGCCTGGCCCAGTGGGAGATTCCTCCGTCCACACAGTTTAGCATAGATGGAGGAATCTGTTGCACTTTTTCCATCTGACAATAGAAAATCTGCCGATTTTAATCTATAGGTGTATGGCCAGCTTTAGGCTACCGCCCACCGTAACAAGGGGAACCATGTGGCTCCTCTTGATCAAGTAACCAACAATCTGGCAGTTTGACAACTCTGCAAATGTCAATGCCCCGTTGTACGTCTGAATGAAGACTGCTGACATCGGCAGCCCAAGTGCTGGGCTGCTGCATTTGGGGGTTCCATGGGATCTACCTATAACTGACTGTTGAGTTAAAACTAATTCCAACACCTCTACCTTTTGGAAATACACCAGCATAAGCTGATATATATGATTGTGTTTCTTATGTAATTATGTCTTTTGAGCTGTAGATGGTGCTGTAGTGCAATGTTAGTCTCTATGCTTATCCATGTTTATCTATGATATGTACAGGAAGTTCTCGCTATACATTTTCCTTCTACAATGCTGTATTCTGATATAATGTCCTGCTAAGCAAGTAAAACTTCACCATTCCTCAAGATCTTCTAATTATTTAAAGTAGACCTTACATTTTGAGATTAGGTCTTTTAAAAGACTTGCTATGCTGTATTATTGCATTTTTCATTTGTATTTTGCCATCCTTTCTGAGCTCATTCTCCAATGGGATCTGTGGCACCCTTGCAAACGTAGTGATAAAAGTGGAGAAAATGGAGTGATGCTGCGACTACCTGCAACTTGTAAAATCTCTCTGTGCTGTGTCTAGTGCCTCCGTTACTTGCTGCTTTGTTTAAAACTTAACTTCCAGAATGTGACACCTGAATCTCTGTTGCATCACTTGCTTTTATTGGGATGCGTTTGCTCACCCATAGGTTCAGACCCTCAATCCTTTCCTTGAGCAGTCTGCAATTTTGAATTCCTAAATTGTGATACTCCTTACAATACAGTTAAAATTACGGACACACCGATACCAGTTTTTCAGTATCAAGTATGAGTACCGATATTTTGTTTATTTTTTTTTTCTCCAGTACTTGCCGATACCGAGTACCGTTGCATTGTGCCCCTATTATCAGGAAGCCGGGAGGTGGGTCATTATGTGCCGCCCGGCTTCCTGATTGGCTAGGGAGCCGGCTTCACGTGTTGCTAAGCAGCCTGGCTTCCTAACCAATCATGAAGTCAAGCGGCATGTAATGGCCACGATTTAATGATTGGAAAGGAACCTGGCTCCATGCTTCCTCGGCAACGGCCGGTCAGAGGGAGAAGTTCCGGTATCGAAGGCAAGTATCAGAGCATTTGGGCAAGTACGAGTACTCGCCCAAATACTCTGTATCCTCACCGATACTAGTATTGGTGCATCCGTAGTTAAAGGGACATTAAACCCTCAGATTTTTTTTAACATAAACCAATACTGTAATGTGTGTGCCTTACTGTAATCCATGGTTGTTTCCCTTCTGTTTGCTGCTCTTCCTTTTAAATTTGTATCTCTTCTCATGCTGGGTGAGAACTTCCCTTTGCAGCTGACTGCCTCTTCCTGTAGTGGTGGCTCAGGTTGCAAACCAACACACAGACACCATGTATCCATTCCAGAGACAAGGCAGTCTGTTGCAAAATAGAAGTTCTGTCCAGCATGAGAAGAGAGAATGATTTAAAAGGAAGAGCAGCAAAGAGAAGGGAAACAGCCATGGATTACAGTATTGGTTTATGTTAAAAAATCTGAGGGTTTAATGTCACTTTAAGTGTGACTTATTGTCAAAGTCTGACATCACGGTGGCCGCAACTTAAAAGGTGAAGTTGGGCCTCAAGAAAAATTCAAGTGGAACTGAACTAAAAAACTGAAGATTTAATATGTTAGGGAACATGTAGAAATGTTAATGCCTAAGCAGTAGCACAATAAAAATTACCTTTTTATCTGGAATTTCTTCTGAAAAATAGGAATGTACTTGCACGTAAAGGTGCCCAGGAACTTCTGGGTCTGCAGAGCCTTTGGAGATTTGGATTGAGATTTGGTGATGTTACCACGGATATGTTCATTGTTCTCTTTGCTAGAGGCTCTGACAGGACTAGGCAAAGCCCTGCATCTATCAAGATGTCTGCATACGCACACAGACACAATGTAGGACTAGGCTTTTTAAGTCAGTAATGGGGAAAGTTCAGCTGCAGAGAAACCACAGATAATGGTGACTAGTCCTTTGCCCTCTCTCTGCTTTTATGGGCACAGCTTCCAGGCTTTAGTCCTTTTATTAAACGCTTGGCCTCTTCCCAATCCTACAGAAAAAGCAGCTTTTGGTGCCCGTTACTGCTTGTCATGTGGTATCCGCTGTGGAAGCTTAAGAGCTTCACGAGTAGTCCTCCCTGAACTGCCGTCCTCTCTTTATTCCTATATAATGTGGCCAGCTGCTACCATTTGACCAACTGCCATGGAAACCTGGAGCAGCTTTTTCTGCATGATAGGGATTGCTGATCAGGATGGGGGGTTAATTTCGCTGCAAGTTTGCTTTGAAGGAAATGCTAGCTTCCTGTCTGTGACCTATTTAAAGAGAACCAGCCTTAATTGGCTTATGCAAACAGTGGTAAAGTGAAGGATTTTTTAATTTACCACTTTGCTTAGCTTTATTTACTTTGCGTGGGGAAGACACTTAATTTGCGCCATGAGGTTAGGGGTCAGTTGCTGCTCTGTCAGCTGCCTGACCTCACACCCAGTTTGCCCTCCCTTTTTTTTTTTTTTATGTAGGTAGAGGCAGTTTACAAGGCCGTAGCTGTAAGACTTGGGTAAACGTTGACACTTTTACGACAAGCTGGAGTATCAGGTGCACAGAAATTAAATAGAAATTACAGGCAAATATAAGCACTGATTCACACCTAGGCGTCACTGATGTTGTGCGTTTGTACGCGCATTTTGCAGCATGTGGTTATTTGCGCGTTGTGCACATTTGTATGCACGTTTTGATTGGCAGCTCATAAACCATTGTGGGCACTAAAATTTGCAACATGCTGCGTTTTTGGGCATTTCCAACTATGTCTATGGCAAGGAATATCGCTTTTAACTGCCCAAAGAAGCTCCTGTACCTTTTCAGGCGTCTGTCGTTTTTCTGCCCAGGTGTCAACCAGGGCAATTGAAAATCATTGGATTTCTTGTGTTGGGCAGTTAAGTGCTTTTCGAACTGCTCAAAAACTCATAGGTGTGAACCAGGGCTAAACCTTCCATAAATAAGACCACACCGTACACTAATTAAAAGTAAACCTTCAAAACCTACCCTTAGCTCTGTGATGCTGCCTATCGCGGTTATATTGACAGAGGTGTCATAGGGCACACATAAAACATAGACTCTTGTGTAGTAAAAGCAATTTTATTTGTTTGACTTGTGTAATGCATTCCTAGTTTTGTGTTATTTGTATCAAACTTTTCAAACACTAATTTCTCTTTTTAACATTTCTAGTGGATGCCGTTGTACCTGAACAAGAGAACCATCAAACAAACAACAATGACACGGACATACAACTTGTGGAAATAGACCAGACTGATAACATGGCACTGACGACAGAGGAAAAGGAGTACAAAGACTACATCAAATCGTTGTTCGAGACTGTGTTGCTTATGGGCAAGCAGAATGTATCATTGGAGGGTCGAAATTGTAAAACTCCCGAAGGGATTTATAGCCCAGACAACTTCCAAGCTCTTCTTGAGTACCGTATAAATTCTGGGGATGATGTACTCAGAAGACGATTCGAAATGCTTGCTGTGAACCAGGAATATTGTTCTCGGCTCCAACAAGAACAAATCTTGGAAGTATGCGAGAGCTGCATAAGGGAAGAAGTTCTCCATGAAGTATGGAACTCCCAGTTCTTTTCCATATTGTGTGAAGATGCTGTTGATTTAGCAGGAGAGGAACACATTCCCGTTTTCATAAGGCATATTGACAACACGTACAACCTACGAGAAGAATTTATTGGGTTTCTCCCTTGCGTTGCAGATGCTGAAGAATTGGCCATCAATTTCCTTCTAACTCTTACAGAGAAGTGGGGCTTGAATATGGAATTCTGTCGCGGGCTTTCTTGCAATGCTTCCCGCAAATTTTCAGCTAAAATGAAAGTTGTGACATCACGGTTGCTACAGAAGTACCCACAAACCACTTATACTCTTAGTTCTTCTTGTGCCTTGAACTTGTGGCTTTCCAAATCTACCCCCGTCTCTGGAGTTTCTGTAGTACTGGGCATTCTTAAAGATATTTGTCTATTTTTTAAAAGCTCTCCTCAACTGCAGGAAGAACTGGAAGGTACTATAACGTCACTTTTTCGGGACAATGTAGAGAAGGGTTCTGAACTCGTAGAAGTCTTAAAATCAGACTGGGCAAGCAGACATGATGCGTTTGAGATTATAGTGACACTCCTTCATTCGCTGATTGTCTGCTTGGACAAAGTAGCTTGTGATGACGGCTGTAGATGGGATGCCAAGATCAGCAGCCATGCATTTATCCTCTCAAGTGCCTTGACTGATTTCGATTTTGTGGCTACTGTCGTGATTTTGAAAAATGCCCTCTCTTTCACTCGAGCTTTCGGCAAGAACTTGCAAAGCTCTACCTCCGATGTTTTCTCTGCCGCCAACAGCTTAACAGCAGTGTTGCACGCTTTGAACGAGGTGATGGACAACATCGAAGTTTACCATGAGTTCTGGTTTGAGGAGGCCACCAATCTGGCTGGTAAACTACATATCCCAGTAAAACTCCCGGGCCAATTTCGGGAATGCAACACTGCCAACTTGCACCATGATCTGACTTCTGAAAACTTTTACAAAGACGCCCTAAGCATACCTACTATCCAACACATCATTCAGGGGCTGAAGGACATTTTTTCAGAACAACATATAAAGGCTCTTAAATGTCTATCGTTGGTTCCTTTTGTGATGGGCCAGCTGAAATTCGGCACCAGCGAAGAACACAACGCTGATAAATACAAAAGTGACCTTCCCAACCCAGACACCCTTTCCGCGGAGCTTCACTGTTGGCGAGTCAAATGGAAACACCGGGGCAAAGACGTTGAACTTCCTACCACCATCTTTGACTCCCTTCAGCTGCCTGATATCAAGTTTTTCCCAAATGTTCAGGCCCTCCTCAAAGTCTTAAGCGTTCTTCCCATCGTCACAATGGAAAGTAAGTGTGAGATGAGCAGGAAACGTTTGAGTTTCTACGTAGAGAAAACGCCGAAAGAACAACGTTCAAGCCACATGGCGTTTCTAAACGTAAATTATGACACAAAACATGACTTAGATTTAATGGTGGATACTTATATGAAGGCAGTAGAGAGTAAAGACAAGCTCGATTCCATCCCACAGGACACGGATATTACAGAAGTTTGATGTCAAAGGACTTGTGTTTTTGTACTTTTTGTTTCTTTGTTAATAATCTGATTTTAAAGTGAATCTTTTGAGCTTAAACATCTGGTTTCTGATGCCCTTTTTTTTTTTTTGCTAAGATGCCAGCGCCAGGACAGTCTTCCTGGTTCTGGATTCACTTCTTAGAAGGAACTAGGGTGTAGGACAGGAGGTTGTGATTCAGATTTCACTGGTTACACATTTATTCCAAATAATAACACTGAGGGTTAAAGCCAGGGCCAGAATGATGGGCCCTTAGTCAGCAATTTTAAATGCAAGCTAGCAGTGGCAGGTTCCATAGACCTTGTCTTTAAAGAGATGCTGTCATTTGACCATTCAGGGCAAAGAGAAAGTGCCTCCTGATACCATCTCCCAGCAATGAATACTTATCGCACCAAGCTCCCTCACCTGCTCTAATGGAGCAATGTTGTTGTGACGGGACCACCTGATACCCCGACTGGGTACCTCCGTCAGAAATCATCTTCCTCCACTCCTGGAACCAGAAAATCACAATTATAGCCCCGAAACCTTCCCCTAATAACTAAGCAGGACTAGTCTCTTGGGGTAAAAACAAGGAACGGAACTTTTTCATGGAGGCATCCATCACAGCCGTCACATGGGGGGGCAATAATGTCATCCACCCATGTAAGGAAATGACTTGGAAGTGGCCTCAACAAGCTTGCTTGCTGTGGGGAGGGGAGGGGGTGAAGGATCGGGGTGCTATCAGGAGGCACTGTTACTTTCCTGAATGGGCAGGTGACAGCGTCTCTCTAATTCAAGGCTGGTATAAAAATGAACTTTATTAACATATCAGGAACCCCAATGCACTTGCAGATATTGCTAACTTTTAAAGGGAACTGGTCAAATTGGCCTAAGCTGTCACCCAGTGCTTTTGCCCCATTTCTGAAGGCAGTGCTGCTTTCCAGGCTGGTCATGGGGCTTCCTGGAGCCAGAGCTGCTACTTTGGAGTTGGACTGTAACCACCTTTAACACAGTTTGGAAGTTTTGACTATGACAGGTATTAACCATCTGACCAGTTTCTGTTTTAGCCTTTCCTTATTCGTGGAGAAGCCCAAACCCAGAATAAGCATTGTATGTACATTACCTAACTTGTGAGAGTTTTGTTACCACCCTCTTCCTCTGGGCCTGCCCATAATTTCCAGTGCACTTTGGTCTTTAGAGAGCACATGGTAGAGACCGGTGCTAAACGGCACATTTAAAAGTTGTTACATGTTTACCCACTTTTTCTTCCCTCTGATTTTCAACAGTTTAGCAGAATCTTTAAATATAGCTCTAGTTTTGTTTAAGCTGATAAAACAATTTATAATTGCCTTTTTGAGTCATGTTATTAAAAAAAAGTACTTTTTCAAGCTTCTGTCATCTATAATCGTAGACAATTGGAACAAAATGCATATCAACTCATCTGGTGGGATGGCATGTGAGCTAATGATGCTGTGTGAGTCCTGGCAGCAAGGGGAAGGGATAGGAAGGGGTAGTTTGAGTGTGGTGATTCTGCATGGACCAGTGAGGAGGCAGGTGAAACCGGAAGCTCACTCTAGCTAGCCAAGTGCTAAGGCAAGGGTATTTGGGTTGACCACTTTATGCTCATTATGTGCTGTCTTGGCATGTGTAGTAAAGTACATTTAAAGTGTTATTAAACTCTCACGTCTTTTAACATATATATCTACTGCTAGTAAGCAGATATATGCACAAACATAAAAAAACTAAACTTTTGAAAGAGGTTTAAACTTACCTGTGTTGTCGCCGCACGCTCCCGTCCGAACATCTGAAGAGTCTCGGGCGGCTGCAAAGGATCTTGGGGCGGGCGCATGCACACTTCAGATGTTTGGCCGGGAGACGAGGAGAGATACAAAGTAAGTCTATGGAGCAGCGTGCACCCGCACAGACTCCGTGGGACATGAGAGAAGAGGAGGGCAGAGGAGTCAGCTCTGGATCGGAGACCCGCACCTGCGCTCGAGGGACAGTTAAAAAGGACAGTAAAGAAGAAGATCGGATTAAGAGACACCGTTTAAGGTAAGTCCTTATAGCACGATTGGGAAGGGGAAAAAAAAAACTGACTTTAATGTGAAAGAAATATAAAGACCGCCATCGCTTACCTTCTGAAAATACTACTTGCTTGGCTGTTACGCTGTCTCGGTGGCTTCAGTATGCAAATTAGGCACAACAGAGTACATTCCTATCTGCATATTTAGTGTTGGTCGATGGTTAAAAGTAGTGAAGCAAGAGGGCCAGCATAATAAACAGGTGTAGCATTTTTTGGGGAGGCAATGACTTATTTTCTTTACTGCCAAAATGAACATGGGAGAGTAGAAGTCTGTGTAAAGGGTAGAATTTCTGAAGAGAAATGGGGATTTTGGCTCCAGAACCTAATAACATACACACTGCGTGGCATAAAAAACCCCCACCTCCCTGGATTTTGGGCATTGTTATGATCTGGGGTTGCTTCAGTCTGTGAAGTCTAGGTTCAGCGACGTTATGTGTCCAAACAAAAAAGGTCAGCTTCCGACCTGAATATACTCAAAATGTTGATTAAATTCTAACAAAAAGTTCCCAAGTTCTATAAATGTCTTCCTGGAATAGCAGAGAAGGTGTCATAACCGAGAAGCTGTATATAAGCACTTTCTGTCTCCTGAAAAGAGCCATATGAAACTTTGATCTGGTCCTGTTGCCTGCCGTCAGTGACTTTGGATGCCTTCGGTAGCCTGACCCTATGATTGCGAAGCATCCCCTGCTACCGTTTGTTGGTACTCAAGGCTTTGCCTCTGACCTTGACTTCTACGTTGCTTACTGCACTGATTTCAGACACGGAAAGGAGCACACACTAATCGGTTGGGAACCACTTTCATTTTGTCCCCAGGCAGTGGTGACAGCTGTAGCCTAGAATCATGCTGCCATCGAATTTTGGAATCTATCCTCTAACTCGAATGGGCTCCATCGGGTGTAGCGGGGTCCTCTGAGCTCTTGCCTGGGGTTTTACCACAGTCGTGCAGGACTTTATGACTGATTGCAGAGGCTGCAAGTACGCCACCACACCCTCTTCTGCAGGTATTCTATCTGATTTACCTAAATTGAACAATAATAAAGAGAACAGAGGAGCGCTACTACCCGTATTGTGTTGGTAATCAGTTTGGGAAACAAACAAATGGACTCACTCACTGTTGGAGGTCTCTCTCAATGAAGAAACGAAAAGATGTTCACCCCGTCTGTAAGAAGAAGTTCTTTTCTTTCTCTGTAGGTGGAATCCTCAGTGCAATCCTCCCAGCTGAGTCCGCCTCGTATCAAGACACACTGAGGATTCCACCTTTTTTTGACAGTCATAAGGATTACCCCCTGCTCAACATCGTACCACCTTTCTACAGAGCTCCTTCCCCCACACAGCCATGACCATCATTCTATTCCCCATCCAAGATGATATGGTTCAGCCATCATCCTACAGAGAATGAAAAGAAGTTCTTCATACAGACGCGGTGAAAATCTTTTTGTTTCTTCATTGAGAGAGACCTCCAACAGTGAGTGAGTCCATTTATTTGTTCTTGTTTCCCAAACGTATTACTAACACAATTCGGGTAGTAGCGCTCCTCTGTTCTCTATATTATTGTTAATTTTGCATACGGGGTTCCTCCCCCTTTTTAAAGGAGACAGCACACCTAGTATCATCATCAACCATTCCATCAATAGTAGTGCACTTAACACATCATTGTCTTGTATCTGATTTACCTGTGGCCTAAGTGGCGTCTGCTAAAACCCTATCTGACTCTGAATTGCTCAAATCAGTATCTGATGAGGTTTTTCCTGAGGAATCACAGTTCTCTGCTATGACACCTAAATGAAAAGATGGTTTGGACTCTTATTGATTTGGTGCACACCCCTCTGAATCTGGAAGATCAACCTTTTCCTAGTGCAGTGTCCAGTCTTGGGTCTTATAGAACAATTAAAGTTGGGAAGACCTTCACTTTGCACCTGCTTTTCCAGGTGTTTCTGTACAAATACTGTCAACTCTGTTATGGACTATTTGCGGACTCTGCACTTACGAACTGTGTTCCACTTTTGGTGAACACGTTATTTTAAAAAATGGTCTGTTTCTTATAGTTCTGGGCATTTTTCACCTTTATGATGCAACTATCTTATTGGTGGATAATGCCCCAGTATTCAGAGACCCCCACTAATAAGCAGTCGGAAACCCTTTCAAAAACTTGTTTTACTTTAGGGGGTTCTTTTTTACATCCAGTTCTGGCTGTAATTTAGGGTTTGCCAAACCGGGTCTGATTGATCCAAAGCCCTAAGGGGGATTTGTCCACTGCTGTTGTTGACCCCCTGTTCTAAGTAATTTCCATCTTTCTTTGCTTAGAAACGTCCGTTTCACTTTGGCGCACTCTAAGCTTCTGATTTGAGACCTCCTACGCTTGGCTTCCCATCCACCCCCATGCACTGGCACAACATGGCTTTCAAATCCACTGACAAGTCCTCCTATGCATGAAAATGTGCCTCCAATTTCCAGAGTTGTGCTCCCTGCCTCATGCCTAGTTTTCAATGTCAAACCTCCCAGTGTCCCCTCAGTGACTTTACAATCTTCATCAGGCACTCTCCAGACTTCTAGACCAGGTAGTCATAGCCCCAGCCCCTGCTGCAAAATGGTTTCAGGATTTTCACACTAGTCTGTTCCAAAACCTGCCCCATCTTGGACCTCAAGGCACTGAATGTTTTCATTTGCCCCCACAAATTCAGAATAACCTGAATCTGTCAACGCTTCCTTTCTGGGGGAACTTCCTCGCTTTGGTGGACATAAAAGATGCCTACTTACATGTGCCCATCTTTCCAGCTCACCAATGATTTTTGTATTGTAACTGTAGGGCCACTGCACTACCACTATGTTGCTCTTTCATTTGGCCTGATATCTGAACCTCCAGTGTTTACCAAGGTGAATGCTACAGTGTTAGCTCTGTTGTGCTCTCTGGGTTTTCCAGTTGTGACAT